GGGCGTAGATGGTCTAGGGATCTTCCTCCCCCTACTCCGCCCCTGGACTGGATGGGAGGTTCCGCGAGTAGTTGGAGCGTTCCAGACGGCTTCGGCGAGGAAACCCAAGTCATGTTTTACAAAAAGGTTTTGGCCCCATTTTGGCCTCCTGGAGGGGGGCCTGACTCATAGATTTTACTAGAGACACCCAAGAGGCCCTAAAAAGTTCCCCGAAGCACCCAAAACGCTCTAAGAGCGCCCGGCCTCCTAAGACGCCCCAGGAGGCCTCCGTAAAGCCGAAAAGTGGTCTCATTTTAGGATGCGGCTTTCTTATTCTGCTTTTGTCAATGAAAACCTTGTCATGTATTGTGCTTCATTTACATCACCGTCCATCTCAATATCTTTATTTCCCTTTCTCTCTCTCTCTCTCTCTTTCTCCGTAATTTTCCTTTTCATGGTATTTGTCTTCGCGTCCCCCTGGGAGGGGAGGGGCGGTGGAGGGATCATATTGTAATCCTCCACAACAAAGGAATCCTGTTGTAATCCCCCACAACAGGAATTCCATTGACATCCTCTACAAAAAAAGAATCCTATTGTAATCCTCGAAGAAAAGAAATTCTATTGAAATCGACCAATCTCTCCACGCCAGGCAGACGCCCCAGCTGGGCGTGGGGGGGCAGAACGCCGAGAACCAGCAAAAACAGGGAAATCAGTCAAAACCAGAAAGGACAAACAGGAAAATCACAGCACCCAGGCCGAACATCAACAACATCAGTGTCCCGAGTTGTTTTCGGATGGGAAGCATTGAACAACATTTTTTTTTTTTTTTTTTTTTTTTTTTTTTTTTTTTTTTTTTTTTTCTTTTTTTCTTTTTATTTTTTTTCTCTGTTTTCTGTCAACAACCAGCTTTTGGCAAAACGCACACAACAACCTAATGTTTCTCAATGCTTCCCATCCGAAAACCGCTCGGGACCCTGATTTCGTTTATTTTTCTGCCTGGGTGCTCTGATTTTCCTGTGTTTCCTTTGGTTTTGACTGATTTTCATATTTTTGTTGGTTCTCGGCTCCCTCGCTCCCCAAACGCCGCCACAAACGGAATCCCTCTGGAATCACCCGCAAAAGGACTCCATTTGGAATCCGCCACAAAAGGAATCCTAGTGTAATCCTCTACGAAAGGAATCAGATTCTATTCCTCTACAGCAAGAATCCAACTTTAATCCGCCACAGAAGGAATCCATTCGAAACTTTGCTACAAAAGGACTCCATCGATACGGAGCCACGTGGAAGCCAATAGGGAGATGGGAAGGAGCCAGAAGGGAGCCAGGAGGAGCTTGCTGAAGGTTTTGAAGAAAGGGGGATTGCTAGCGCTTACCGCTGCCCACGAAGGCTTCTTGAGGCTGTGAAAAAGGGGGAAAGTATGTGCATGTGTTGCTAAATTTGCGGGGGGCGGAGCACACAAACATGAAGTTCTGGGGCGCCTGGCGCAGAACATCGTTGTTGGATATGTAAGTTCCCATGCAACTTTTAGCACTTTTCGAGGGTATGTGTTTCCTCAAAAAATGGTGTGTCGAATTTTTTGGGTGTCTTTGGGGTGCCTTTCGGGTGTTGTCCGCGTGTCTTGGCAATGAAATCTTGGGTCGCTTGGGGCAAACCGGAGGTTTCAACTGCAATCGCAAAACTTTTGGAAGAGTCTTTGTCTCTTGAAATTTTGCCGCAGCGACCTGACGCTCACATTAGAGGAGCACGATGTGCTGGCCAAATTTGCCCTGTTCCTCGTCGCAGAGACGCCATTCAAGTTTTCACCTCTTATGTACCACTCAGTAGAAGCAGGCGAGTCGGTGGATCTGGCGAGCCTGCCGATGAATGCAAAAACTATTCGCACGCGCCCAACATTGGCGCCATAAGGTTCACTTCTGTAGCCCATCCATGTACTGGACTTGACTTGGTTATTCTAGCGACTACGGGCATATCTTGCCGTCAAAACAAATATCGTCGTCATCATCAAAGTCGTCATTTTCATCGTTGTTGCCCCAGTCAACGCAAGACGCGCATGTCGTTAAATAGGACCATATTTCTCCTCCACCTCCACTGGGGGACCCTCTTCTGTGTGCTGCCCATTTCCCTGATCGAGGCAATTCCTCTGGGCATCGTTTCCTCTGGGCACCTGCTGTCTAAACTGCGCGCGTAACCAAACACGACCCGGGGTGACGGGGTGAAGATGTTGGTTGCGCCTCCCTGGCGATGCGAACAACTGCTCCGCGACGATGAGCAGTACACATGCGAAACCGCGGCGCACGCGATCTGCCTGCCGACCTCTACGAGTAGTTCCAAACCATTTTGAACATTCCAAACTTAGGACTTGCCTAACAACATTCTTAGTTAGTGTTGAAGAGCCCGTGGGTGCCGAACCTGGTTGGCCCTGGTTTTCCTCAGGTTCCTCGGCCTTGTTTTCTTGCCAGGGTCTTGCACGGGAGTCCCTGGTCCTCGTTTCCTTGCAACAAGGACCTCGGGCTCCACGGTCTTGTTCCTGGCCTTTCCTTCCGCGGGTTCCCCAGTCTTCTTCCTCGGATTTTCCTAATCTTTTCCTTGCTTGGGCTCCTCGGGCTCCCCCGGCCTTGCTCCTCGGATTCCCCGGAATCCCTGGCCCTGCTGCGTGCAGCAGATTTCGTGACCCCCCCTCTCCCTATCCCCCCCTGTCGCCCTGTCGTCCGGCCCGATCAGATCGACGAAGCGGAGGAGAGCACGAAAGTCAGAGCTTTGTGGGCCCCGGAAACGGCAGGGCCGTTTTTTCACCGTTTCCCAAAAAATGTCCCTTCAAAGTGGAAGCGGCAAAAAAACGGCGACCGGAAACGGCAAAAAAACTGCTCCAGGATTGGAGCCGGAGCCGGAACCGGCTCAAAAAACGGCGACGGAACCGGTCAAAAAACGGCGTCGGAACCGGCAAAAAAACGGCAAAACGGAACCGTTAAAAAAACGGCCCTGTCGTTTCCAGGGCCCCCCACTAAGGGCCAGAGACCGGCCGGCTCCCGAAAGCTTTTGGCTCCCGAGGCCCGCGCGCTCCGCGTCGGCAGGGGCGGCCTGGCAGCGCTCAGGCCGTGCCGCTGCGCGGCTCTCGGCGGCAGGGCCGGCCTCCTCTGGCTCCTCGCCTCCTCCTCCTCCTCCTCCTCCTCCTCCTCCTCCTCATGCTCCTCCTCCTCCTCGTCCTCCTCCTCCTCCACAATTACACAGTCTCCTCCACAATTACACAATATGAAAATACTCTCCCACTTCCCCTGATGGCGCCCCGAAGATGGCCGACCCCCCCCCGCGTATTGTTTTTTACACACAGGATTCCCGGGAAACGGGTTTTCGCCTGCGTTTGTTTGTCAAAATGCTGCTCTCGCTGAGGCGCCGGCCTCATTTCTGCTCCCGAATCGTTCCGAATCGTGCTCCCGCTGCAGCGTGGGCCTCATTTTCGGATCGGTGTTTGGCCTCCGTCGTTCAGGATGGCGTTCTCGCCCCAGCGCGGGCCTCTTTCTCGCGCGCCCATCCGCCCGCCACCACCGCGCCGCACCACCACCACCACCACCACCACCACCACCACCACCACCACCACCGCCACCACCACCACCACCATCACAACCACCAGCAGCACCAGCAGCAGCAGCAGCACCACCACCACCACCATCACAACCACCACCAGCAGCACCACCACCACCAGCACCACCAGCACCACCAGAACTATCACCACCACCACCACCACCACCACCACCACCACCACCACCACCACCACCACCACCACCACCACCACCACCACCACCACCACCACCACCACCCCACCCCACCACCACCACCACCACCACCACCACCACCACCACAACCACGCACACACGCACGCACGCACGCGCACCACCACCCACTACGCACGCGCGCGCGGAGCCACAGGTCCGCTACGACACGCGTCCGCGGATAGGGAAAACCAGCGCCATGGTAAGGGATGGGAGGGAGGGGTAGGACGTCAGATATGACGCGAGCGCACCTAGCTTGTCCCACCCCCTCCTCCTCCTCCTCCTCCTCCTCCGGCCCCTTCCAGGATGGATGCCTCCCAGATGGGGTCCGAATAGATGGGGTCGGAAGATCTCGCCTCGCTCGAGAAATTCTCACAGTCTGCTCTGAAAGCAAAAGGGGTCGGGGACTCCAAACGGGCACCTCACTCGAGACATCCCCGCACACCTGCCGCGACTGGACCCTTGCAGCTCCCCCTGGCGGCTCCCCCATCGGCTGCCCACGTGCTATGCCTGCTGCATCGCGGTGACTTCTGAGTGCGAGTGAATCTAATGTAAGTGGTATGTGTATGAGTCTGAGTATAGGACTTGGCTGAGTATGAGTGAATAGAGTGTGAGTGGTCAGTGCATGCGTGATTCTGACCATGGACGAGTGGGAGTGACAATGGATCTGAGTCTGTGTGGTCTGAGTTTGAGTATAGCCTCACTATGAGTGAGTCTAGGTGTGAGTGAGCCTGGGTGTGAGTGCGTCTGAGTGTGGGTGAGTCTGATTTCGAGTGGATCTGAAGATGTGCACAATGAGTCTGAGTATGAGTGAGTCTTACTGTGAATCAGTCTGAATGTATGTGTGTGTGGGTGAGTGAGTGAGTCCGTGTGTGTGTGTGTGTGTATGTGTGTGTGTGTGTGTGTGTCTGAGTGTGTGAGCCTGAAGGAGGGCGGGAGGAAGGATGCGGCAGGTTGGTGAGTCGGAGGCGTCCCACCAATAATATGAGCCCCAGATTGAGGATATGGGGGATAACCCCTCAAAACATACAGGCCTCGGAAAAATAGCGAACACTCATGCCACATTCATCTGTCAACGCCTCCCCCTGCCCCCAATTTTCAAAGTTGGCGGTGTGTCTGATGAGTTGCACCTCGACCGCAGTCTCCCCAACGCGTGTCAACTTTGAGTTTGGGGGGGAGGGGGAGTGTTCAGGAAGTGTTTCCCTCTACCGTATATCATTCCTCCTTCCTCATCCTCCTCTGGTCAAGCTGCCGTCAGTGGTAGTGGAAGAACTTGACGGTTCCTCCTGGCGGGCAGCCATCGGGCACGGTGTACTTGACCTGCGTGCGGGCAGAGTCAAGAGGACTAAAGCTTCAGATTTAAGGTTGAACTTCGACGCCGAAGATGACTTGAACATGTTGTTCGCCATCTCCGGCGTCTGGAGGCTCGTTTTTGCCCCGGAACTGTCAAAACCAACCAAAGATGGAAACCATGCCCAGGCCGACTTTGCGGATTTCGGTCGCACGCGTCAATGACGACGGCGACGGCGTTGCTTCGAAGGATTCTGGGCGTCTCTGGAGATCCTCGTCGCAACGGCTGGCCCCGCTTGGAGAACGGGCCAGGTTGGACTTTGGAAGACCTGTAGTAAGCTCGGCCAAAGCAAGAATGGCAGAATGTATGAGTCAACTCAAGCGAAATATTGACTGCAACTCGTGCCCCTGCTCCCTGCCCGCGTTCGAGGGGTCCTATCTCTATGTGCTCCTCCTGCTGCTCCTCATCCCCTCCTCCTCCTCCTCCTCCTCCTCCTCCACCTCGTCGTCGTCGTCGTCGTCATCATCATCATCATCACCACCACCACCATCATGAGCATCCTCCTCCTCCTCCTCTTCCTCCCCCTCCTCCTCCTCCTCCTCCTCCTCCTCATCATGATCACCATGACCATGACCATCAGCATCACAATCAGTTTTAGCATCAACATCATCATCATCATTCTCATCAACATTGGCATCAGCATCAGCATCATCATCAACATCACCACTACCATCACCAACACCATCATAATCATCGACAGCTTCATCAGCATCAGCAGCACCAGTACCATCACCATCACCATCATCATCACCATCGTGATCAACATCTTCACCATCACCATCAGCATCACTATTATTATCAACACCATCACCACCATCAGCATCAGCATCAGCATCGTCGTCATCGTAATCGTCATCGCCGTCATCATCAGCATCATCATAACCATAATCGTAATAATCACCATCATCCTCACCACTATCATCATCATCAACATCATCATCATCACCACTCGCATCATCCGTATCACCACCGCAACAATCATAATCACCACCAGTGTCATCGCAGTTGTCTTCGTAACAATCATCGTTGTCGTCATTGTCGCCATCGCCATCGTCATCATCCTCATCGTCATCACCATCAAACCATCATGTTCATCGTTTCTGCCAGTATCTCCATCATCGTCATAATCATCACTCTCGCTGTCACCATTGCCATTACCATCATCATCATCGTCATCATCATCATCATCATCACCACCATCACCACCACCATAATCATCACTACCATCATCATCATCATCATCATCATCATCATCATCATCATCATCATCATCATCATCATCATCATCCCTTCCTTTCCCCCTTCCCCTTTTATCCTCCTCCTCCTCCTCCTTCTTCTCCTCCTCCTCCGCCTTCTCCCTCCTTGCGGGGTCGCGGCAATCGCCGTCCTTCGGCCCTGCTGCCCTTTGCTAACGGGGCCGTGCCCGCGCCCCCACAATGCCGCCTCGCTGAGAGGACTCCATCCATCCATCCATCATCCATCCCATGCCCCATCCCCATTCATCCTATTCCTCTCTTTCCTCATCCCCTACCCTCCTCCTCTTCTCCTCTTCGCCTCCTCATCCTATCCTCCTCGCGCTCTCCCTCTCTCATTCCTCCTCTCCGTCCTGCAATTTGATCACGGAAAAAGAGGCCCCCGCACGGTCCCGAAACGTACCCGAATCGGCGGCACGGACTCTGCAAGAAAGACTCGGCATCCGCTCCCGATATCTGTTTCTCCGTCCTAATGTTTTCTCTCCGCTTATCAAGGCCTCCTACATGGGGTCCGAATAGATGGGGTCGGAGGATGGCGCTGCATCGGCGATGCATCGGCGATACATCGCCGATGTATCTGCGACGCCGGCGATGCACTAGCGCCATCGGCTTGGAGGAGGACGAGGATGCCTCGTACTCGCCGAGCGAGTCCTTCAGCCTCACCGTGCTGCTCTTGCCGGGCTCCGAATCCTGCGGCCCCGCGACCGCGGGCCGGGGGCGCCGCGCTGCCAGGCGCCTAGCGCCGCCCTCCCCCCCTCCTCCTCCTCCTTGCCTTCTCCTCCTCCTCCTCTTCCTCCTCCTCCTGCTCCTGCTTCTCCTCCTCCTCCTCCTCCTCCTCTTCGTCCTCCTCCTCCCCTCCTCCTCCTCCTCATCCTCCTCCACCTCCTCGTCGTCGTCGTCCTCCTCCTCCTTCTCCTTCTCCTTCTCCTCCTGCCCCTCTTCGGCCAGACTTTCGCCTAACGTTTGGTCACACAGGCGCTTCCATCAAACAGGTAGCGGCGGTGGTTCGCAGTAGGCTTTTTTGATCTGCCACACCTGTTGCCTGTGAAGGGTTGGCGTGCCACTGGTGGCCATGCCCGCAGAAATAACAACCGAACACTGTACGGCAGGTGCGCGCTTGCATCACTGCATAATGAATGCCAGTCTCTGGCCCCCGCAGCCTCCAGCATCGCGGTGCTGCCAAGGCCAGAGACCGTTGGCACTACTGAAGAATGCGCTGCGCAGCACACTGAGTGGGTGGGCGGCACTAACTGGCCGGCCCGTGATACCGGGGTGCAGAAACCATGACGTACGCCTGGCCTGTCAGCCCACGCAAACCGCAAGCAATCATATCCTGTAGACAAGATCGGTTGCAACAGAACACGCTATCCGTTTCCTTGAATTCGCGTGCAGCCGAGCTGCCTAAGCCCTACAACACGTCCCTCACGAATGGCAGTTTACGGAACAGATACCCCAACGGCCACGAGATCACGGTGACCCAAACGACGGTATAGATCCAACCACCGACAATGACCCACTGGGGAAGTTCGTTTCGGCTCACGAACGTGCCGTCCGAGGTAGACTCGAACTCGACCGTGTATCCTGCTGCCCTCAGGATCGGCAACAACGTCAAAATGACGCCGGGGATAACGATGACCTGGAGAACGTAGACTGCGTACTGACTCTCACCGGCCATTTTCTGCAAGCGGCTCGAGGAGTTGCAGTGAACCGCGAAGAAATGAAGGACCGATACGGAGATGCCACCAGTCATGATACCCAGCCACACGCCAGAGCACACCTGAGGCCCAGGCCGCGGCGCCATCATCTCGGCCAGCCCAACCGTGGCGGCGAGGACGCCGGTGCCGACCACAGAGACCAAGGCAGCCAGCCGCGCCAGCCAGTAGTCCCTCGGCGCCATGCTCTGGAGGCCCTCCATCCACCCGCTCCGCCTCGCGACGCAGCCCGCCGCGAAGAAGGCGACGTCGAGGGGCAGACCGCCGCAGGGCAGTGGGCCCACTTCCAGCAGGGCGAACTGGCAGTACGAGACCCACCCCTGGGCGGCCCCCAGGGCGGCGCAGGCCGAGATGACACCGGCGGCGGAGGGCATCGGCAGGGCCACCTGCGGGAAGGGGACGAGGGCGTACGAGATGCTGAGGATGAGGAGGGTCATGAGGAACCAGGTCACGCCCGGCTCGAACCACACGTATGACAGCATGCCGCCCCCGCGGAGCACCATGCCCCTCAGGCCCGACGACAGCGGAGACACGACGAAGTAGGTCACGACCAGGGGCCATCCGAGCCGCTTCAGCTTATCGCGCACGAACTCCCCGGTGCCCTTGCGCTCCAGAGACGAGGGAACGAATATGCCCCCCACAAAGAAGAGCAAGCACATGAAGAAGGACTGGTCCGGGATCAGCAACCAAATAGTCACCAGACTGCCAAACGTGTTGCCCGGGCACTGGCCCAGCCGGAGGGCCCACTCGATGCCGCCCACCCCCCCGAAGGCGATGCTGATGTGGTGGACCAGCACCAGCTGCGTGCACAGCGTCTTGACGCCGTCCAGGAAGAACAGCCTCCCCTTGCCCCCGCCTGCTGGGCCGGCCGCCGCCCCGACCCCTGGCCCCTGCTGCCCGGCCGGCGCGGCCTCGGGGGCCACCGCGAGCCGCGCGACGCCTGATCGACTGGCGCCTGCCGGCGGCGCAGCCCGAGGGTACAGGCACACGAGCATCAAGTGCGCGACGGTGCAAACCCACCCGTCGTCGGCGGGCGCCGCCGTCACGCCCTGCTTTGGGCGCCCGAAACGGGTACGGAAGCACAGGGTACAGTACCGAACAGCAGCTTTTGTCCCGAGCCGAGAGCAGCTGCTGTTGGCCAGGCGGCCTTCTGTCTCGAAGGGACAGCGCCCGCGGCGATACCGACAGCGGGTGCTGCCAAAACGGAACAGGGACTGCTGTCAGTCGCCGTGCCCATTTCTCTCTGCAACCACTTCGTCGGTGCCGACCTGCTGGGAGAGCCACACCAGCACCAGCTCCGCCAGGAGTGCGAATGCGCAGTACAGCCACTGCGCTGGCGTGAGCAGGCCGAGGATCGCGCCGGGGCGGCCCTGCTGCTTCCCCGGGACGGAGGAGTCCGTCGCCGAGCTCGAGGCGCCCTCGCACTCGGCGGCGGCCGACACGGGCGGCTCCTGCGGCCACGCCTGGGCCTCCACGTCTGGGGAGCGGGCGGGCGCCATGAGTCCGCGGGGCAGCTCGATCTTGCGCTAAGACGGCTACGGCTCACACTGGCGTGCCAGACTCCACGTTGGCCCTTCCAGGGATGCTCCCGGTGGCGATCGGCTCAACCAGCCAGCCCCGCGCCAAACCGGTGACAGTGGCTGTTCCGCCCAAGATGGCTCCAAGAGGACACTGGTCGCCATCGGCAAAGCCAATCAAAAATGGCCAAACCTGCCTCCAAGTAAGATCAAACTGCATCCGAGACGGCCCAAGATGGCCCCAAGACGGCCCACGACGGCCTCAGGACGCTCGAAGAGTCCACCGAAACGCCCTAAGAGGATTCCAAGAATGTATCCAGGAGGGCCTCGAGAGGCTAAATCCTTGATCGTCTTCTTAGTGTTGTTCCATGGTTCGCGACTTCTCGCCCTTCTGGTTTTAAGAGAGCATCCACGACGGCCGAAAAGGTCTCCAATACGACCCCGAGACTGCCCCAAGACGGCCCAACACGGTCTAAGTGACCCCAGGACGGCGCTCAATGGACCAAGGGAGCCCCGACGGCCTCCTGAGGCACCCGATGCACCAGCCGGCCCGCGAGCGCCCCCAGACCACCCAAGAGGACCCCAAGACCCAGCTCCTCCTCCTCCTCCTCCTCCTCCTCCTCCTCCTCCTCTTCCTCCTCCTCCTCCTGCTCCTGCTTCTGCTCCTCCTCCTCCTCCTCCTCCTCTTCCTCCTCCTCCTCCCCTCCTCCTCTTCCTCATCCTCTTCCATCTCCTCCTCGTCTTCGTCGTCTTCCTCCTCCTTCTACTTCTCCTCCTCCTCCTGCCCCTCTTCGGCCAGACTTTCGCCTAACGTTTGGTCACACAGGCGCTTCCATCAAACAGGTAGCGACGGTGGTTCGCAGTAGGCGTCTTCGATCTGCCACACCTGTTGCCTGTGAAGGATTGGCGTGCCACTGATGGCCATTCCCGAAGAAATCTTATCCCGGCAAAGCAACCTAACAGCGATGTGTATAAGCATATCTGGAAGCATTCCCCTTAAGATTCACCTTGTCTCAGCTTCGGCCTGCCTCGGCCTCATCCTCAGCCTCAGCCTCAGCCTGTCTCGGCCTGAGCCTGCCTCGGCCTCAGCCTCAGCCTGCCTCGGCCTCAGCCTCAGCCTCAGCCTCAGTCTCAGCCTGCCTCAGCCTCAGCCTCAGCCTCAGCCTGCCTCGGCCTCAGCCTCAGCCTGCCTCGGCCTCAGCCTCAGCCTGCCTCAGCCGCAGCTTGCCTCAGCCTCAGTCACAGCCACAGCCTCAGCCTCAGCCGGCCTCAGCTTCAGCCTCAGCCTGCCTCGGCTTGCCTCAGCCTCAGCCTCAGCCTGCCTCGGCCTCAGCCTCAGCCTGCCTCAGCCTCAGCCTCAGCCTCTCAGCCTCAGCCTGCATCAGCCTCAGCCTCAGCCTCAGCCTGCCTCGGCCTCAGTCTCAGCCTGCCTCAGCCTCAGCCTGCCTCAGCCTCAGCCTCAGCCTGCCTCGGCCTCAGCCTCAGCCTGCCTCAGCCTCAGCCTGCCTCAGCCTCAGCCTGCCTCAGCCTCAGCCTGCCTCGGCCTCAGCCTCAGCCTGCCTCGGCGTGCCTCGGCCTCAGCCTCAGCCTGCTTCGGCCTCAGCCCTCAGCCTGCCTCGGCCGCCTCAGCCTCAGCCTCAGCCTCAGCCGCAGCCTGCCTCAGCTTCAGCCTCAGCCTCAGCCTGCCTCGGCGTGCCTCAGCCTCAGCCTCAGCCTGCCTCGGCCTCAGCCTGCCTCGGCCTCAACCTGCCTCAGCTCGGGCATTCAAAATATGTCACAGGACTGGTGTTCTGGGAACACGAAGATCACGAAGTGGCCCACAATTGGCTCCGGGCAATCAAAATATAGTACAGGAATGGTGTTCTGGGAACACGAAGAACACGAAGAGGCCTACAGTTGGCTCCGGGCATTCAAAATGTGGCCTGGGAGTGGTGTTCTGGGAATGGATTCCTAAGCATTCATAAGAATTCCTAAGGATTCCTAAGGATTCCTGGGGCTGACCCTTTTGTCCGGTTTTGTCCGGATCCTGCCCAGACCCCCCTGGGGCGTCAAGATGCTCTCTTTTATGACCACTAGAAGCCTATCAACAAAAACTGTTAGGTAAAAAACCGAACACTGTACGGCAGGTGCGCGCTTGCATCACTGCATAGTGAATGCCATTCTCTGGCCCCCGCAGCCTCCAGCATCGCGGTGCTGCCAAGGCCAGAGACCGTTGGCACTGCTGAGGAATGCGCTGCGCAACACACTGAGTGGGTGGGCGGCACTAGCTGGCTGGCCCGTGATACCGGGGTGCAGAAACCATGACGTACGCCTGGCCTGTCAGCCCACGCAAACCGCAAGCAATCATATCCTGTAGACAAGATCGGTTGCAACAGAACACGCTATCCGTTTCCTTGAATTCGCGTGCAACCGAGCTGCCCAAGCCCTACAACACGTCCCTCACGAATGGCAGTTTACGGAACAGGTACCCCAACGGCCACGAGATCACGGTGACCCAAACGACGGTATAGATCCAACCACCGACAATGACCCACTGGGGAAATTCGTTTCGGCTCACGAACGTGCCGTCCGAGGTAGACTCGAACTCGACCGTGTATCCTGCTGCCCTCAGGATCGGCAACAACGTCAAAATGACGCCGGGGATAACGATGACCTGGAGAACGTAGACTGCGTACTGACTCTCACCGGCCATTTTCTGCAAGCGGCTCGAGGAGTTGCAGTGAACCGCGAAGAAATGAAGGACCGATACGGAGATGCCACCAGTCATGATACCCAGCCACACGCCAGAGCACACCTGAGGCCCAGGCCGCGGCGCCATCATCTCGGCCAGCCCAACCGTGGCGGCAAGGACGCCGGTGCCGACCACAGAGACCAAGGCAGCCAGCCGCGCCAGCCAGTAGTCCCTCGGCGCCATGCTCTGGAGGCCCTCCATCCACCCGCTCCGCCTCGCGACGCAGCCCGCCGCGAAGAAGGCGACGTCGAAGGGCAGACCGCCGCAGGGCAGTGGGCCCACTTCCAGCAGGGCGAACCGGCAGTACGAGATCCACCCCTGGACGGCCCCCAGGGCGGCGCAGGTCGAGATGACACCGGCGGCGGAGGGCATCGGCAGGGCCACCTGCGGGAAGGGGACGAGGGCGTACGAGATGCTGAGGATGAGGAGGGTCATGAGGAACCAGGTCACGCCCGGCTCGAACCACACGTATGACAGCATGCCGCCCCCGCGGAGCACCGTGCCCCTCAGGCCCGACGACAGCGGAGACACGACGAAGTAGGTCACGACCAGGGGCCATCCGAGCCGCTTCAGCTTATCGCGCACGAACTCCCCGGTGCCCTTGCGCTCCAGAGACGAGGGAACGAATATGCCCCCCACAAAGAAGAGCAAGCACATGAAGAAGGACTGGTCCGGGATCAGCAACCAAATGGTCACCAGACTGCCAAACGTGTTGCCCGGGCACTGGCCCAGCCGGAGGGCCCACTCGATGCCGCCCACCCCTCCGAAGGCGATGCTGATGTGGTGGACCAGCACCAGCTGCGTGCACAGCGTCTTGACGCCGTCCAGGAAGAACAGCCTCCCCTTGCCCCCGCCTGCTGGGCCGGCCGCCGCCCCGACCCCTGGCACCTGCTGCCCGGCCGGCGCGGCCTCGGGGGTCACCGCGAGCCGCGCGACGCCTGATCGACTGGCGCCTCCCGGCGGCGCAGCCCGAGGGTACAGGCACACGAGCATCAAGTGCGCGACGGTGCAAACCCACCCGTCGTCGGCGGGCGCCGCCGTCACGCCCTGCTTTGGGCGCCCGAAACGGGTACGGAAGCACAGGGTACAGCACCGAACAGCAGCTTTTGTCCCGAGCCGAGAGCAGCTGCTGTTGGCCAGGCGGCCTTCTGTCTCGAAGGGACAGCGCCCGCGGTGACACCGACAGCGGGTGCTGCCAAAAAGGAACAGGGACTGCTGTCAGTCGCCGTGCCCATTCTCTCCGCAACCACTTCGTCAGTGCCGACCTGCTGGGAGAGCCACACCAGCACCAGCTCCGCCAGGAGTGCGAATGCGCAGTACAGCCACTGCGCTGGCGTGAGCAGGCCGAGGATCGCGCCGGGGCGGCCCTGCTGCTTCCCCGGGACGGAGGAGTCCGTCGCCGAGCTCGAGGCGCCCTCGCACTCGGCGGCGGCCGACACGGGCGGCTCCTGCGGCCACGCCTGGGCCTCCACGTCTGGGGAGCGGGCGGGCGCCATGAGTCCGCGGGGCAGCTCGATCTTGCGCTAAGACGGCTACGGCTCACACTGGCGTGCCAGACTCCACGTTGGCCCTTCCAGGGATGCTCCTGGTGGCGATCGGCTCAATCAGCCAGCCCCGCGCCAAACTGGTGACAGTGGCTGTTCCGCCCAAGATGGCTCTAAGATGACACTGGTCGCCATCGGCAAAGCCAATCAAAAATGGCCAAACCTGCCTCCAAGTAAGATCAAACTGCATCCGAGACGGCCCAAGATGGCCCCAAGACGGCCCACGACGGCCTCAGGAAGCTCGAAGAGTAAGAGTTCACCGAAACGCCCTAAGAGGGTTCCAAGAATGTATCCAGGAGGGCCTCGAGAGGCTAAATCCTTGATCGTTCGCGACTTCTCGCCCTTCTATCTGGTGTTAAGAGAGCATCCGCGACGGCCGAAAAGGCCCCCAATACGACCCCGAGACTGCCCCAAGACGGCCCAACACGGTCAAAATGACCCCAGGACGGCGCTCAATGGACCAGGGGAGCCCCGACGGCCTCCCGAGGCACCCGATGCACCAGCCGGCCCGCGAGCGCCCCCAAACCACCCAAAAGGACCCCAAGATTGTTCAAGGGGGCCCCAAAAAGTCCGGGAGAAAGCCCACAGGGAATGGGAAGAGCCGCAAAATAAACGATGTACCCCCCAGGACGGCCCTGGGCCTGTGGCTTCCCCAGCGGCCGCACCGTCGCTCAAACTTTCTCGGCAAAGTGCACTCCCAAAGGCAGGGGCTGGCGGCGACTCGCCGCAGGCGTCTTCGGTCAACTGCTCCTCTTTGTCGCGCCCCCAGACGCGTTGGGCCGCGCGTTTCGCCTGTGAGTCAGGAGGGAAGGACCTTAGGGTTATAAGGCCTCAGGGTCATGGATAGGGCGTTAGCGTAAGGGTCTTAGGGCTAGGGCCTTTGGGTCAAGCCCTGATGGCTGGGGCCGTCGGGTTAGTACCTTAGGGCTAGAATTTGGTTATTCAGCTTAGGGCCTTGGGGTTATAGTACTCGGTTTCGGGCCTTCGGGTTCGGGCTCTTAGAGCCTGAGGGTCAAGGTACGAGGGTCAAGGTTTTCGGCTTCGTGTTTGATGGTTGGGGTCTCAGGGGTATGACCCTAGGGTCAGGGTTAGGGTGTTCGGGTCAAGGTCGCAAGGTTGAAGCCTTAGGGCTGGGGTCTTAGGGCTATGGCATTCAAGTTCGAGTCAGGGTTATCGTCGTAAGGTCTTCAGGCTAGGGTGCTGTGGTTCGGGCTTGGGGGTCCGCTCCCTGGGGTTCGGGCCTTAATGTGAGGGCCTTAGGGTTAGGATTATGACCTCAAGGTCAGGTTCTGAAGATCGTGGGCTCAAAGTTAGGGCATCAAGGTCAAGGTCTTAGGGTTAGGGCCGTACGGTAAGGATTCAAATCTTCGGGTTGAAATTATGTTCAGGGGGTCGGGTCCCCAATGTAAGGCATCTGGGTTACGGTAAGGGTCTCAAAGTTAGGGTCTTAGTGTCACGGCTTTCGGGCTCATAATTTAGGGTTTGGGTCAGGGCGTCAAGGTTAGGGCCTTACGGGAATGGCTTTCGATTGAGAACTTCCGAGTCAGAGAGGGTACGGGTCTTAAGGACTTGTGGTTTAGGGCCTTCTTGTCAGGGAATTCGGTCTAGGGTCTTCGGGTAAGGGTCACAAGGTTAGGACCTTCGGGCTAGGGTTAGGGTGCTTGAGTCAGGGTCTTTGGTCTAGGGTCTCAGGGTTAGGACCTTGAGTTCAGGGGCTTCGGGCTGGGGCGTAGGATTGTAATCCGAGGGTAAAAGGCCTCAGGGGTAGTGTCTTAGGGTTAGTGTCTCCAAGTTCGGGCCGTGGGGGTCGGGTCTTAGCGTTCGGGCATTATGGTTAGGGTGATGGTCTTTCGACTAGGGTCTTCAGGTCAGGGCCTTAGGAATCAGGTCTTCGGGATAGGGTTTTAGCGTTAAGGCCGTAGGGTTAGAGTCAGGGTCTCAAGATTCGGGCCGTGGGGTTAGGGCATTAGGGCGGGGGCTTCGGGCTGAAATATTAGGCTTAAGGCTAAATGTTCGGGTATTCGGGTCAGAGTTCTGCTATGAGAGTTCCGGCCTTAGGATTGGGGTCCCAGAGCTACGTATAGGGGCTGTGGGTTATGGTCTCAAGGTGACGGCCTTAGGGGTATGGTGTTTCGGGTTAGGGTTGGGGCATTAGGGTTAGGGTCTTCGGGGCATAGATTCAGGGTCAGGGCTTCGTGTTAAGGGCTTTAAGGTTCGAGAGGGTTCGGGTCCTCGTGTTGAAGGTTAGAGAGGGTTCGGTCAGGGGTCAGGGCTTTAAGGTTAGAGAGGGTTCGGGTCCTCGTGTTAAGGTCTTAGACCTCGGGCCTTACGGGGTGGGGCGCTAGGCCCAGGGTCTGGGTCTTCGGGGCAGTGCCTTGATATGAAGGTCTTACGATTAGGACATTATTGTTGAGGCGAGGGTGTCAGGGTTAGGATCGAAGGGTCAGGGTTTTAAGGTTGGGATTTTAGGTTTAGCGTACTCGGGCTAGGGTGTTATGTTTTGGATCTCAGGGTTATGCCTCAGTTGGGGGTTCTCGGGTTAGACAAATGAGAGGAATGCTGTTAAGGTTGTCGGGTTCGTGTATTAGGGTTATGGCTCAGGGTCATGGGTTTAGGGTTACATATGGTCTTACGGCTAGGGTCTGAAGTTGGGGCTTTGGGGTTAGGTTCTCAGAATTAGGGTCAGGGCGTTCGGTTTAGTTAGTCCCGTGCTGTTAGAGCCTCAGGGTGAAGGCCCTGGGATTAGGGAATTAGGGTTGGGCCCTCGGGTCGAATTTTGAAGTCTAAGGTCATGGTATTAGTCTTAGGGTGACGGCCTGGGGTTATGGTGTTTCGGGTTAGGACTAAGGCATTACGGTTATGGTCTCAGGGACATGGCTGTAGGGTTAGGGCGTTCGGGTTCGAGGGGGATCGGGATTTAGTGCTAGGATCCTAGGGTCGGAGTCTTTGGGGTCGGGACTTGGGGTAAGGTTCGTAAGGTCTGAATTGGGGCGTTTGGGTTAGGGTCTTGGGGTTAGGGCCTGAGGGTTAGGATCTTCGGATTAGGGTCCTCGTGCTAAGGTCCTAAGGTCAGGGTCTCAGGCTTAAGGCCTTTGGGGTCGGGTCTTCGGGTTGACACATCCGGTTTCATCTTCGGGTCTTCGGGTAACGGTCTTAGGATTCAGGCATTAGGATTAGGGCTTAGGGTTAGGGGCTTATGATTCGACTTATGGTCTTACGGCTAGGGTCTTCAGGTTACAGCCTGAAGGTTAGAATACCAGGGTTGGGGTATGCCAGTTCGGGCCGCAGGGTTAGGGCTAGGGTACCAGGGTGGTGCCACGGTGTTCGGGCCTCAGGGCGAGGGCCTTCGGCTTAAGGTATTCGGGTTCGGGCCTTAGGGTTAGGATGTGAGATCTAGGGGGTTCTGTTCTGAGGGTTAAGGTCTTAAGGTTCAGGTTTTTCTTACGGTTCGGGTCTTAAGGCTCCCTCATTCCCTGTGCCACACCTGATCCACCACCGCGCCTGCGGCAGGTTGGAGCGTGGAATAATGCCAAGGGCTGCATGGCAAGGCTTATATAATCTTCAAAGGGGCCCCCCACCCACCCGTCACGCTTCCCTGACTGCATTCCCCCTATTACCGAAGGTCCCTGGTCGGCCATGGCGTCTCCTTGGGGCTCTCCAAAGCCTCCATGACGGTCCAGGAAGCAGACCCAGGCCGCCCAAGAGGGCCCCGAGTCGCTGAACGATCGCTCGAAGACGCCCAAGATGGCTCCCAGATGGCCTCCGAGGGCCCCAAGAGGCAAACATCATTTATATTCCTTCCAGCTTTTGAAGGATTTAGGCGTTCTCGCCATTTCGGCTTTCCGACGCTCCAGGACGGCCCAAGAGCCCCCGCAAACCACCCCAAAGCGGCCCCAGAGGCCTCCAAGAAGGCACACGACCGCCCAAGAGGCGCCCCAAGACGGCCTAAGAGGCGCCCAAGACGGCCCATAAAAGGCCTCAAGACGGCACCCAAAGGAGCCCAAGAGAGTGACCACGAACCGAACATCCGAGCCTTCCGCCCAAAGGTGCCCCCAGGAGGCCCCGACAGGCGCCCAATAGGCCGCAAGAGGCCCCCAAGAGGCCCCAAAGAGGTACCAAAACGGCCCCCAAGAGGCCTCACAGCTAACTCCAGCAGGCCCCGAGAGGCCTCCCACGAGATCCCACCGACCATCAAATAGGCCTGTAGCCCACAATCCAAGCACGGTTACGGGACTTGCCGTAGGCAGCTGGATATTCTCCCCGCACTCCCTCGGGGATCCCGACCTCGAATGGTTAACCCCCTTCTGAAGCCCCACGTCCGTCCACGTGACAAGTTTCCAGTCGCTCCTTCTCCTCCCCGTCCCCTCAAATGTGAGATACACTCCTCTGTTACATTGCGCAAGCACCAAGCGGGGCCTGTTGTGACTAATACTTCGATCTCTTCCTCCGCCTTAGACGCCGCCCCTCCCCCCAAAAAACAAACACGCTTGGCTAAGGCCCAACCCTATGCAAGTGCGTGTGGCGCAGGGTATGGTCCTCTCTTCATAGACTCGGCATCGCACGATGCGACATGCGAGCCCCCCACTGATGCCCGAACTGAGGCTCCCTGTTGTGGAGGGAAGCGTGCGAGGGGTGTGCTGAACTGGGAGCGGCGCGGTATACGACCACCCCACTGGGGTCTGAGGTGGAGTTCCACATGGGGGGCACGAACCGTGTCGGGGATGTGTCGAAACGGGCGCGAGGCGGCATGCACACATCCCCACTGAGGCCGTAGGTGGGGCTTCCTGAAAGTGGGTGTACGCGAAGTGTGAGGGGCTCAGCCGCGGCCGATGCGCGCAATGGGGTGCGTCAACATGGGGCGCCGCCGCCATGCGATCGTGCCCACCGAGACCGTGAGCGGGGCCCCCCCTCTGGGGCCACGACCCTCACGAAGGGTCTGCTGCATTGTGCGAAGCGCTGCCACGCGGCCATCCCCACTGCGACCGTACGGCGGGGTTCCCTCCATGGGAGCACTGTCCTCGTGAGGGGTAGGCGGAGCTGGACCCGGCGCCGCCATGCGGTCGTGCCACCATAGGCGGATCTCCCCATTTGGGCCCACGGCCATCGTGAGGGGCGTGCCGACATGGGCGCTGCGCGGCGGCGGGCGAGAAGGGGGAGGCGGGAGGAGAAGGAGGAGGAGGAGGAGGAGGAGGAGGAGGAGGGGGAGGAGGAGGAGGTGGAGGAGGAGGAGGAGAGGAGGAGAGGAGGAAGAGGAGGAGGAGGAGCGCGAGGGGGAGGCGAAACAGGGAGAGGGAGGCGGGAGGCGAAGGTGCGGCGCGTGCGGCGCTGCTGATTCGGAACGGGAGCCCAACAACAACAGAACGTATGGGAAACCGCACGACGTCCACGCAGAGGAGGGACAGCATGAGGAGGATCATTACTTTGGGAACGCGATGTATTCTAAGGTGCCATGGAAATCATGTACGAAGTCCTAGTGGACCCTCCTCCACCTCCTCCTTCTCCTCCTCCTTCTCCTTCTCCTCCTCCTCCTCCTCCTCCTCCTCCTCCTCCTCCCTCCTCTCCCTTTCCTGTTCCTCATTATCCTCATCCTCTTCCTCCTCCTCGTCATCATCAACATCATCATCATCATCATCATCATCATCATCATCATCATCATCACCATCCTCCTCCTCCTCATCCGCCTCATCATCATCACCATCAACAACATCATCATCGTCATCACCACCACTACCGTCATCATCTCCATCACCATTTTCACCACCACTACCATAATCACCATCACAATCATCATCATTATCATCACCATCATCCTTATCATCATCACAACAATCGCCATCATCATCATCCTCGTCCTCCTCATCCTCATCATCACCAGTATCACTATAATCGTCATCGCCACCATCAGCATCATATCACCATCCCCATTCCCATGATTACCATCACCACCATCATCATACTACTACTCCTCACCTTCTAATCCTCATCATCATCATCATCACCACCACAACCATCACAATCATAATCATTATCATGATCATGATGATGATCACCATCATCTTCATCATCACCACCACCACCGCCATCATCACCATCGTCATCATTATCATCACCATCATCATCATCACCCTGAACCTCACCATCACCGTCACCATCATGATCATCATCAGCACCATGACCACCACAATCATTATGCACCACCACAATCATGATGACCACCACCGCCATCATCACGACCATGGCCACCGCCCACCACCCACCACCACCACGATCACCATGACCACCACCACCACCACGACCACCATGACCACCACGACCACCACCATCGTCATCATCATTAGCATCATCACCACCATCATCATCATCATCATCATCATCATCATCATCATCATCATCATCATCATCATCATCATCATCATCATCATCATCATCATCATAGTCGGCATACTGGCCCAAGGCGTGCACGCTGGCCCCGCCGCGCGCGCCCGCGCCCCCGACGCAGGCCGCGCGCCCGCACAGACCCGCCCGCCTGCTACCCCGGAAGCAGGTGGAGGCTGAGGAAGGGCAGCGATGGCCGGTCCCTCTGGAGCCCGCGCTGCCGCCGAGGCGGCCCGCGGCGCTCTCTTGGCGGCGCATGCTGCCAGCGGGCTCGCGGCGTGCCACTCCCGGTCGGGAGTGCGCATACTGCGGGCCGCCGAGGGGCTGCTCCGGGCAGCGATCGTGGAGCTCGGCACGAAGGCAGCGCCCTCCCCGCCGGAGCCGGCGGCCGCGGCGCTCCCTCGGAGGCGCCACCGGCCGCGCGGCCGCGCGGGGCGCGGCGCCGGGCCCTCGCCTGCCGTGCCGGGCGCCCACGGCGACGACGCGGAGGAACAGCAGGATGGAGGAGCTGGCGGCGCAACAGCGGCGACTACACGGGCTCGGCGGCTTCGGCGCCCGGCACGGCCTGGCCAGGCGTCGTCGGCGACGGTAGCGCCCGCTTCTCGGGGAGGTGCTCGTCCTGGTGGAGTTGGGGCGGCGGCGGAGGCTGGCGTGGGGGACCCCGAAGCTGGAGCTGCGGCTGGTGCAGCCGCGGCGGCCGCGCCGCCCGACGGCGACCCCATGGACGACTCCTGGGCCGACGGCCTGCAGCGGTCGACGGCGCAGGCTGCGGCGGCCCGTCGGCGGGCCGTGGGCGCTGGCGACGTGGTGGTCTTGCGACGCTGCGGCCTCTTTGAGGGCACGGTGGGGCGGATCGACGCGGTCGACGGGGACACGGCCAGCGTTCGCATCCTCAAGGCGGACGCGGAGGAGGCGGGTCTCCTCACGGGGGTGCGGCTCGACTTCATGGAGCTCGTCGCCGGCGGCGGGGGGGCTGTGTAGCGCCTGTCGCTCTCTGCGCTCGTCCGGCGGCCTGCGTTTGTGTCGAGGGCGAGCACTCGGCGGACTGGGGCTGAGGCTTCGGCGCGGCGGCCGCGGCCGCGGGGCGGCTCCTGTGCAGCGCACGTTGCCCGCTGAGGGGGGATCATCATCATCATCATCATCATCATCATCATCATCATCATCATCATCATCATCATCATCATCATCATCATCATCATCATCATCATCATCATGATCATCATGATCATCATCATCATCATCACCACCATCATCATCATCATCATCATCATCATCATCATCATCATCATCATCATCATCATCATCGCCACCACCACCACCACCACCACCACCACCAGCAATCATCATGATGATGATGATCATCATCATCATCATCATCATCATCACCATCATCATCATCATCATCAGCAGCAGCAGCAGCAGCATCATCACCACCATCATCGTCATCAACACTTCCCCCTCCCCTCCCCCAAGGAGTCCTGGCCAAGGGTGCCCATGGTCTGGAGCGGCGGCAATCCGCGCGGCCCCCCTTCCCCCCGCGCGGGGGGGGGGGCCCCCGCCGGCGAGGCACAGCGCGCGGGACGGCGAAGCCCCGAGGAGCAGCCGGCGGGCCCCATGGAGCGGCGCCCGGAGCGGGGGCAAGAGCCTCGCACACCATCTTGCCGGCTCTTGCGAATCGACGCTCGTCGACGCTAACCAAGCTGCCAGGGGCAAGAAGGGGTGGATCGGGGGTGCACACAGACACACTTGCACTGTATGTCCTCCTTGGAGGCGCGCGTCCGACCCGAAAATACGGCATGCCCATCTTGCAATGTATCGCTTCCCGAGCGGTGTGGCAGGGAAGCGCCCCCCCCACGTCGCATCTTCTACAAGATCCCTCGGTGCGCGCGTCGCCCCTGGGGGGGGGGGGCGACGCACACATAGCATAAGCCTGCTGGGGCGACGCCGAGGCTAAGCCCAGGCGCGGGCACCACGCGCACTCCCCGGGGACGTGAAAGAACCACGGCAGACCATCTGCTTGGCGATGCTCGGCCTCTCCGGGCCTACTTCGGGCCCCGGGGCCGTCCCGCCACGGCCCTGGGATGGAGAGCCGGTCCCTGGGCAGGGGAAGGGGTGCGGACCTCTGGGCGTCCCCGCTGCGAACAGAAGCGGCGGCGGGGTCTCGGGAGCCTCGTCAGAGGCAGATCCGTCGAACACGTTGCGGGCAACATCCATGTCCATACCCGCGGCGCCTTGGATCTTTGGAGAAGGGGGTGCCAACGACCTGAGGCTCTCTAGGGGTAAAAGTCTGGCCTTGCTAGACGCCAGACGCCTCGGGCTTCTGCGGGAGACTCCGACAACCGAGACGCAAAGGACATGGATACAGATCTTGCCGCAGACACGGGTGGCTCGGAGCCACCCGGCACGCGGCGCTCTCCTCTGGGCTGCCCGCCCCTGCTGTGGCCGCCGATCGGCGGGAGCCCGCCCAGAGGGCCGTGCGTGCGCGGGGGGGGGGGGCAAACGAGCACCCAGTTTTTTCCCCGTCGCAGGCCCCCCACGCCTCATTCAGAGAGGGGGAGAGCGACGTGTGAGAAAAGACTGATCCGTGGGGGAAACACAGCACGACCCACCACTCCTCACTGGCCCGAGGCGGCCATGGGGAGAAACAAGCACCACCACTCGCACCCGGCCCGCCTCCCCAGAGGGCGTGGGCCAAGTGGTCGGCGGCTCGCACAAAGGGGGTAGCGTTAGGTCGGGCGTGTCACCCTACAGGCGGATTTTGGACGACAATAAAAAATGGTCAACCAGTATTCCAAAAATGGTCAAGCATGGTAGAAAAACCGCCCCCCCGACTATTATTTGACTATTTCTGATTCTGTCTCCTGCAGAGGGACGCGCCCGACTTCAGGGCAGCGCGAGGGGGGCGGTCTTCTAAGAAACGCGCCGCCTTCTTAGAAGGGCCCCCCACCTCGCGCCATCCCCCCTTTGTGCGTGCCAGCACCAAGTGGGGGCAGGGTAGGTCGACTTTCGACGCCGCTTCTGCGAAACGTCCTCACAATCGGGAGCCGAAGCTTTGGGGCCCAAGGAGCAACTGATTGAGGAGACCTTCGTAAGAACGAGGAGGGGCGATTCAAACCCGATTATAACGGGCCGCTGCGCCGAATCGGGGCAAGATTGAACCCAAGGACTAAGCTGGATTAGGCAGAATTGTACTGGATTGAAAGGTATCCTGCAGGACTCGGCAGATTTGACCACGGGTCTACCAGCGTCGATGCTGAATTTGGCCTCCCCGGTGTTGCATCTGAGCACCCCCACCTCCCAAAAAGCGGGGGCCAGGTGGGGTGGGGTATGCCTTCCGTGCCGCCGCTGCCAAACATCCTCGCCGTCGGGAGACGAAGATCCTTGGCCCAGTGGGCCCTCCTCCTCCGACGACGTCGCAGTTTTTTCGGGGCGTCGGTCCCCAAGGATCTCGACCTTCCCCCAGGGGCCAACTGTTCATCCTGAAGCGTTATCTCTGATGGCCCCATGGGCGGGAGACAGCCTCCGGAGGCCGAGCACGACATCAAAACAGCCGCCACTATTTTGGGCAGCGCCTGGGCCTGAGGGGAGGTGCGCCCTCTTTCCCCAGCACCCGCTCGACCAGGGATGTCGTGGACCCGCCCCGCAGAGAACCCAAGCTTCACGCTGCCCTCCACCTCTTCCTCTCCCCCTCTCCGTCTTGAACTCCTCCTCCTCCTCCTCCTCCTCGTCCTCCTCCTCCTCCTCCCCCTCCTCCTCCTCCTCCTCCTCCTCCTCCTCCTCTTCCTCCTCCTCCTCCTCTTCCTCCTGCTTCTCCTCCTCTCCTCCTCATCCTCCGCCCTCCTCCTCCTCCTCCTCCTCCTCGTCCTCCTCCTCCTCCTCTCCTCTCCTCCTCCTCTCTCCTCCTCCCTCCTCCTCCTCCTCCTCCCCCTCCTCGTCCTCGGTCCTCCTCCTCCTCCTCCTCTCCTCCTTTACCTACTTTTCCTGCTTTTCCTCCTCCGCCTTTTCCTCCTCCTCCCCCCTCCTCCTCCTCCTCCTCTCCTCCTCCTCCTCCTCCTCCTCCTCCTCCTCCTCCTCCTCCTCCTCCTGGAGCCGCGCGCACGTGTCTCGCGCGTGCCTGGGATATCCAGCCGGCAATGGACGGACTATCCCGCGGATCGGACCGCGCGGGCGAGATTCGGGCACGAGACCCTCGGCGCCCCTCGGTGGCGGAGCCGCTTCCGTGCGCCGTGATCTCCCACAATCGGCTACACTTAAGTCGGACCTGTCCCTCTACAGGAGGAATATTCAAAAATAATAAAAGAATAGTCTGGGGACGAGTGTTCTACTATTTTTGGTCATTTTTGAATATGTTTTGGGTAATCATCATTTTTCGTCCAAGATCCGCCTGTAGGGGGGCATGCCCGACCTAAGGCTACACGCAAAGAGTCGATGGGGGAGCGACGAGGGGGCGGCCTGCTCAGGGGAAAAGACATCGACCTGGAATCGGCGACATATCGTGGACAGATCGGCGATGGGCCCCTGATAGCGAAGCCGCACGCTCCTGGGCGAGGTGGGCTGCAGTCGACCCGTACCATCAGGATGCGCGGTAAGGATGCAGGGGTCTCGGGGGCCCACGTGAACGTTGTTCGAACGAGGCTGGCCAGCGAAAGTGGCCAAGGATGGGCCGAAGGGGCAAGGATGCAAAGGTACCCTTGGGAAGGTTGCGCATCCTTATTTTGCGGGTTGACTGTATCGTGCCCCTGTCGGCGATGAGTGGGCGATCCGGGGTCGATGCAGCCCCCCGCGGACCCTGTAGAGTGACCCTGGGCACGGGTCAGGTCGGGCATGTCCTCCTACAGGCGGATTTGTGAAGCCAAATGTAAAAATGTCAAACATGTTCAAGAAGAGTCGAAAACTACCAGAAACATCGTCTCCAACATGCTTTTTGTGAGTATTTTGGAATATTCCTCCTTTAGGGGGACATGCCCGACTCAACCCTGGGCAACAGTGAGCTCTGGTGCGCGACTTGAGGAGGCCGCGGGGAGGCCCCGCCCCGGCGCGCCAGCCAGTGCCGGGGGAACTCCCGTGGGCCCGCACCACAGCTTTAGGTCGGGCCTGTTCCCCGACATGGGGCTTTTAAAGGAAACATTTAAGAATAGTCAAAAATATGAAAAATGCTCCAAAATAGTTCACAAAATCGACCACGGCCTATTGTTGGACTATTTTGGAATATTCCTCCTGTAGAGGGACAGGCCCGACTTCACCATAGCTCACTCCGGCCAACGGTCACTCTTACGCTCAGGTCGGGCATATCCTCCTGCAGGCTGATTTTGGGAAACAAATGAAAAGTAGTCGAACGATACTCGAACACAGTCGACCAAAAATAGCAACATCGCTCCCAGACTGTTTTTTCAGGGGGAGGGCGACAACTTCAGGATATTCCTCCTGTAGAGGGACATGCCCGACTTCATCTTACGCATGGCCGACGCCATCCGCTCGACCGGAACCACGCGCGCGCTTCGCGCGCTCGAATCCCCATCGCCCGCGACCTGGATGGGCCGGCGGAGCGCGGAAGCCTCCAGCATAAGTCCGGGCGCCCTTGGACGGCGGAGCCACTTCTGTGCACCGTGATCTCCCAGCAGCCGCTTGATCACTGCTCTGAAAGAAACGTGGCAACACCACCCCTCTCTCCGATGTTTTGAAGCAGCCCGGGCTGGTCAAAGATTGTGGCGAAGGGAAGGGCTGCACGCGAGAGCCCGAGCAAGCGAGGGTGGATGGAGCGAGAGTGGCGGGAAGGGCTCGTCCTCCCTCCTCCCTTCCTCCCCCCTCCCGCTCCTTGCCCTCCTTCTCCCCCTCCCCCTGCGCGCGGGGGGTCGGGGAGGGCCCAATCCGAGAAGCAGGGGAACACCCCACGAAAGGCGGCGGAGGCGGCGGCGGTGGCAACTGGATGCACAACAAGATGCATAAACATACAAACTTTCGGAATTCCGCGCAGACTTCCTGGGTCGGCGCCAGGGAGGGGAGCCCAGTGCAGGTCCAAGAAATCCGCGCGGAGCTCCAATAGCTTATGCTTATGCAGCTCTTTTATTTCGAGCAACGACGGCGAGGGGAGAAGCGACTGCGGCTCAATGCTCGACGCTCGCGCGCGTGTGCCAAATGACAAAGGCTGGCAATCTGCTTCGGGGTGCGGGCGTGTGCCTCGTTGACGCGACAAGCGCCTGAAGAGGGCCCAGTCTTCCGATCGCCACGCCTGTCCACTTAGAGAGCGACGCGAGTCGAAATCGCCGACACAGAGGGCCACAGCACCATCATGCACCATCGGCCGACCGCCGCTGCATGTCGAACACGTTTGGTAAGGCTCCGGGTTGCGCAGAGACAGCTCCCCAGGTAGTCCCAGCTAGGCTCGACAGGCCCCCGAGGAGTCTGGGGCGGTCTCAACACCATGGCGCCGCCTCGGGCGGCGCCCCAGGCCGCGAGGTTAGGGTGTTGAGACCAGCCCACGACTACTCGTGGGGCCTGTTGAGCCCAGCTGGGACTACCTGGGGGGGGGCCCGGGGGGGCTCTGTGCGCAGCCCAGAGCCACATACATATGCCAACAACACAATCGGCGGCTGCTGCATGTCGAGCACGTAGCTGCTCGACCCCTCTGCCGCGTCTCAGGAGAAGCTCGGGCGCTGCACATGCACCATGCTTCGTATGAGCCCCATCGGAGGTATCCCATCATGGGCGCGATGGTGTGCTGGCTAGCGGGTGATCCCACCTGCAATACAAGACATGCCCTTCACACCTGCATGAACAACTCACGGCATTAATGTGGCGCCCTGAACGCCTTCGGAAAACCAGTGTTCAGACCATACCCCGTCGTACTGAAGGCACCTTGCCGGAGCAGGGCGGAATACCATACCATGGCACAGCCTCCGCACCGCCCTTCTGCTCACGCGCAGTGAAGACCTCGACGCACGCATCCCGTGAAAACGCCATCGGCTGTGAGGGAATCGTGCCTTCCACCACCAACCAAGACCTCTCGTGTGCCGCCCACGTCCACGCTCTGGCTCTGCGCGGTGGATGTGCACCTCTGCCACGCCGCGCCTCTCCCAGCCGGCGCCTTGCGCGCGGCGAGTGCTGCAGAGGAGGGCCGGCCTGCCGCTCGGACCTGCGCCCCCCCCACTCGAGCGGGTCCCAGCACTGCAGCTGAGGTGCGGCCTCACCGCAGGCGCGTCGCGAGTCGGCAATCTGTTCACAGCGAGCCTCAAGCTGCGAGCCCCTCCGCCGCCCTCGCGCGCGAAGCGCGCCTCGCGCCCGCCGGCCCACGCGATGGGGCTCGAGCAGAGGCGGCGAGAGGCAGGCCCGAGGCGGCGACAGGGACGGTGACGGGCAGCGGCGAGTTGCCGCGGCGGCGGTCGCTGCGGCGATGACGGGGGTCTGGAGGGAGGGTGGCGTTGCTCGGCGGCGCACCCGAAGGGGGAAGGCAGATAAGGGGGCGGGCCGTCTCGGAGAGCTCAGAAGGCCTCCGGCCTTCTGAGGAGCGTTCGAAGCCGTTTCCGCAGCCACATGGGGGCTGCTCGGAAGGCCAGGGGGCTCGTGAGAATCCCCGCCGCCTTCTGAGAAGGCCTGCCCCCTCTCGCTTCCCTCCTCGGCGCGCCGCGTATTTTTGCAGGCGAAGGGCCTTACCAATGACAAATCAGGTGCATAGAACCAAAGAGAAGGCAGCGGCAGGAACTCGCAGAGGTCCGCGCGGACATCACGTGGTGGTGCAAGGGAGGGGCGGGGGGCGGGGAGGGGTATCCAGCGCCGACCCGAGGAATCCGCGCGGACCTCCGAAAATCAATGTTTATTGATGTCGGGCCCACCAACGTGCTGCTTGTTCTTCATGGGATGTGTTTTGCCTCCCACGGATGCTCCCAGCGGTCCCCCGATGCCCGGCGAGAGTTCAGAAGCACCAGAAACACGGCCCTCCTCGAACCTCGATCCTCGAGCCTCTGTGCCCCTCACCCGCCCCCTGTGCGTACATCCGGCGGTTGTGGGCCCCGGAAACGGCAGGGCCGTTTTTTCACCGTTTCCCAAAAAATGCCCCTTGAAAATGGAAACGGCAAAAAAACGGCAACCAAAAATGGCAAAAAAACTGCTCCAGGATTGGAACTGGAGCCGGAACCCGTCAAAAAACGGCGACGGAACTGGTAACAAAACGGCGTCGGAACCATAAAAAAACGGCAAAACGGAACCGGTAAAAAAACGGCCCTGTCGTTTCCAGGGCTAAGGGCGTGGGCTCCCACCCCTCATGACGAAACCAACTTCTCGCCCCGAGTCGTCCTCTGCCGGCCCCGCGACCACGAGCCGGGTCTCAGGGCGCCCAAGCCGACGGAACACCGGCCGTCTCGACCTGGGACTGCCTGCGCCGCCGGATGCTTCCCTCGGCGCATGGCCGGTGGCACAGCGTCCCGGTGGCACGCAGGAGCGGGGCGAGGAGAGCGGCCTTCGGAGAGGAGCAGGCGGGCGGGCGAAGGCTTCTCGGAAGGGCCTGGAGGCTTCCGAGAGGGCTTCTTGGAAGCCGGCAGGGCTTACAGGAAGCCCCCCCTCCTCGCCTCTTGGCAGAGCCGCCCCATTCAAACAATGTTCTTGGAGCATGAGCCCGATGTGTCAGAGCAAGGCAGTATCAGCCAGACAGGTTCTAACATTTCGTGCAGACCGCAAACGGTGATTTGAACATTCTGTGGTGGGCCTGTAGGCGAGCCAGGACGCTTCGCCGCTGCTTGACCCCTCGCCCCACGGCCAGCCAAGATCCGCTCCAAGCTACTCCCTGGACACCTCCCTGGGGCCCAGCCAGGCAAGTTCTGCGAGCTGCGTGCAGCCGTCCGTGCCATGGAGAAGTGCTCGTGGAGGCGCCAAAGACGTTCGAACACCTGCTTCTCTATCCCTCTGCCTGGACATCCGATGTCGTGCTTGATTTCACGACGTGTCCCCTGGACATCCACACCTCTTCCCAGGGGCCGCTTTTATCACGGATCGCCTAGTGACGGTCCAGGGCTTGAACGGGCGCCAGGACGCAGAACATTGAACAACGTCGCCTGTGTTTGTTGCCCGCGACCCGCTCGCCTGAGCGGCCCCGGCCCGCTTCCTCCTCCTGTTCGGCCGTCGCTTCGTTGTCTTTTCCTCCCCTGTTGCATGGTGGCACAAATCGCTTAACGGCAGCCCCGTTTCGCTTCCTCGCCAGCGCAGTGACTCTGCCAAGCCGCCGACGTAAAACAGTTGTTGTTGCCCAAGCGTTTTTGGTCTGTCTGCCGAGCACCCCTCGCCCCAACCACTTCCATTATTAGGAGAAGGCCAACCACGTACCCCCATGAATCCTGGCAGGCTCATCCTGGGCCCAGGAGCGGAGCATGCGCTTGCCCGACCACGCCTGGACCGGGGATGCGTAAGACTCGGGTACGGGGAACTCGGGTTGGCCTGACGAGGTCATCATAAAAATGACGAAGCCCAATCTGACATTTGACGCGGATTCCCGCTGCAAGCATCCCACGAAAACTGGACCGTCAAAATCCAGGACGCGCTCGCCAACAAACGTCGGCAAACCCGAGCTCCGGCTTACTCGGGTCTTACGTTTCCCCGACTGGAGGGCGCATGCGCGGCTCCTGCGCCGAGGCTTGGCCTGGCCGGCCTGGCCACCGACTCCGCGCGAAGGCAGCGGTCCCTCCGCCCCTCGGCCTGGGCGAGGGGAGGGTGGCCTGGCTCAAAAAGGGGGGGGGGGGGGGGGACCAAGCTCGCGCAAGCTGATTTTTCTCCGGCCAAGCGCCTCCCGGCGCGCGGGAGGCGCCGGCGCAAACGTCGAGGAGCGGGCGCCCGGCGGCGGGCCCCAGAGCCAGCTGCCTGCCCCCCCCCCCCCATAGCTTCCCCTGCCCACACCCTCTCGCCCGACCAAGGCCGAGCCCGCGCGCCGCCCTTCGGTCCTCCGCGGACGAGGGAGGCACCGTCTAGCACAAGCTCGATTGCCCGCCGTCGGGGACGCCTGCCCCGGGGCGGCTGGAAAGCTTAGACTATACGGCGAGGATGTTTTTTTTGCTCTTCTGCGAGGCCCGTGGGTGAATTCATGCACCTCTGCGGGTCCCGCACTAGCCGCCCTTCTGGGCCGCCGCCGCCCGCTCGCCCCTCGCCGCCAGGCCACTGGCCCGCGAACCCTTGGATAGGGAATCCAGGGTCTGAAAGCCGGTGGAACTCCAATCGTGGATTGGCCATTGAAATCACCTGCCCTCATCACATCAGGAACCCTCAAGGGTCTCAAGCCTCTTGGGCACATTATTTAATCCACGCCCCCACGGTACCTCTACTATGGTGGCGCGCTGGGATACAAACTCTCCAGCCACCCTGGGGCAAGCGTCCCCGACGGCGAACATATTGATGTTTTACATGTCTTCGTCCGCTGGGATCCCAGTCCTGTCCCCCCACTTCGTCCGACTCGACTTCGGAAGCCACAAGGTACCTATACCACTATGGGTGCTTCCTGCCCCGGATTTCGAAGCGAATCCAGCCGTGGCGGCGAGTGCCCCCCGAAAAGGAAGCGAGGCAAGGGGAGCACCATCGGCACCGCCTCCACCTCTGAGAATCGCGTCTAGTCTGCGCGCCGCCAGCGGTCCCTCCTCTGCCCAGCCCGCCCCCCCGCCTCAGCGCAAATTCCATCGGACAGCCCAGTTCCGGTGGTCCAGGCCGCCAACGACCCGAGCAGAATCCGCCAGGCTTTCCCGCTGGCGGGAGCGGGGGGAGCCACCAAGGAGCGTCGTCGAGGTCGTCGAGGCCGTCGTCGACGAAGTCGTTGTCGTCGTCGAGGCTCGCCGCCCTCGTCGTTTCGTCGTTCACCTTCACCTCCTCCCTCCCGTCCTCCTCCTCCTCCTCCTCCTCCTCCTCCTCCTCCTCCTCCTCCTCCTCCTCCTCCTCCTCCTCCTCCTCCTCCTCCTCCTCCCCCTCCCCTCCCCCTCCCCCCTCCCCCTCCCCCTCCCCCTCCTCCCTCCTCCTCCCCCTCCTCCTCCTCCTCCTCCTCCTCCTCCCTCCTCCTCCTCTCCTCCTCCTCCTCTCTCCTCCTCCTCCTCCTCCTCCTCCTCCTCCTCCTCCTCCTCCTCCTCCTCCTCCTCCTCCTCCTCCTCCTCCCCCGCGCGTGTGGGAGCGCATGCGGGGGGAGGATGGATGGATGGATGACCAAAGTCAAACTTGAAAGCCAGAGAAACGTCGTTCCATCGGATATTCTGTCCCAGGGGCCCAAGGCGAAGAGCAGCTGAAATACATTCCCAAAGTACACGAAGATCCTGGTAGCCCTGCGAAGAGAAGGCTGTGATCGCGTCCTATCTGTAGACGCATCCTCTCGCACTGCGCGTGCCCGTCTTTGACGAGCCGCACATCCAGACACGTCTGACTGAGCTAAGCCGTTCAAAATCTTGTTCGCGAAAAGCGTGCCCAGCCATCGAATCCTCATGGCGCTGGAGATGGGAGGACCAGGAGGAGGAGGAGGAGGAGGATGAGGAGGAGAGGACCAGGAGGATGAGGAGGAGGACGGAGACGACCACGACGAACCACGAACGACGAACGAAGAACGATGAAAGGGAGACCGAGGCAAACATCATTGGGTGAAACAGGCTCCGTCGCAGACTCAAGCGCTCGTTCCGCAGACGAGGAACACGTGCAGCGCATCCCTCCCGTAGGCAAGCGGCTGAGGCGGTGCGGGTATCGGAACCAATTCGGATACCAGCGCGAAGGCCGATGTGATATGCACGTGCTCCGCCACGCGTGAAGGGCGGCAGTCGGGTCGCATCGCCATTCTTACCAAGAGATGGCACCCTTGCGGCAAAAGACCCTACACAACGGTAAACAACCAGAACGGTGGCCCAACGATTTCGGGGGGCCCTGCTCCGTCACCAGGCGTTAGAGGCATACTATAGCTATAGAAACCTCACAGACAAGCAGGGGGAAGCCATCACGATCATTTTAAGGCTGTTCGCTCTTCTCTGCTTGCGTGCTATTCAACACGTACATCTCAAGCCCTCGACACCCGTCCTCGTCGACTTCGATCGTACCCCCCTTCGGTGCTTTTCTTCCCTAACTGCCACGTGTAGTTGGCGCAGCTGCTAAACAGGAGAAGGAAGGGAGGAGGGAAGAGACAATGGGGAGGGAGAAGATGGATTACGAGAGAGCGTTGCAGGAGGAGGGTTAGGAGCAGGAACACAAGCGGCATAACCAGACGGGCGGGTCGGGCGGGCGGACACTGACGGGCAGGTCGGGCGGGCGGGCGGGCCAGATGGCCTGGTCGAGCGGGCGGGTTGCTGAAGCGTGAATCAAATATGTATTGCAAGGACGTTTCGAGCGAGAATGCGATTTCTAAGAAAATCGTGAGGGAATCCACAACGAGAGCGTGATTCCTGAGTCTAGGGGGCACGGCGCCGCAATAGATAGTGAGGGAGTACCACGCGAGAGCGTCCTCCCCTGCACATAGATTCTAAGGACCCTCCCGCGCGATAGCGCGAATTTGAAAACAACTGTGAGGAGTTATCAGGCGGAAGAAATTGTTGTTGCAAACGGGGGGCCAACAACACAGTTTGAGCACCAATACTTTCCCTTGTGGAAAAAGGGTGCTAGCCCCAGGAGGAACACATGAATGGAAAAAGCACGAGGTGCACCGGAGGGGGATCAACAATAATTATCATTGAGAAGTGGGACTTCAACAGAAACCGCGAGACCACGGCCAGAGACGGACGCTACCACGGCCGAAAAAGGATGCTCAGGCAGCACCGATCCATCGGGCAAAACTCACCATGTGTAAAGACTGCCAAGTCAGCGTGCAATCATCGGCGTTCCAATGCAAATGCTTAGGCAAAAGAGTTCGGGCACGCTAGGACAGGGCATCCTCAAAAAGTGCGTCGCGCGTCTGCATTCTTTCGTTCCTTGCTCTTGGGCCGGATTTGCGGGAAGCCCCGAGCCAGCCCGGCCGCTCCGGCCGAGATCCTCGCAGAACCAGAGCTCACCCCCTCCCCCAATGCTGATAAGATCATGGAAATCTGGGAGGTGCCATGGCCCCGACCAAATGTCCACACAAACACAAACACAAACACAAACACAAACACAAACACAAACACAAACACAAACACAAACACAAACACACCCACACCCACACCCACACCCACACCCACACCCACACCCACACCCGCACGCACGCACGCACGCACACACGCACACACGCACACACGCACGCACACACAGAGACACAGAGACACAGAGACACAGAGACATAGAGACACAGAGACACAGACACAGACACACACACACAGACACAGACACACACACAGACACACACACACACAAACACACACAAACACACACACACACACACACCTGGTCCTCACTCCCCTCCTTCTCGCCTGCGGGTCCTCCGCCAGCCGCTCGGGACGATCCCGGCAACTCCCGCAGACTCTCGACACGACGCAGCTGCCGAACAGCTATCCCGAAGCGCGAAAGCCGACAACGGCCACCGAACACTGCCTGCCCCCCCCCCCTCAACCCTTCGACGGCGAACACGTCCCCGAGTCGGCGCCCCCGAAATCGGCACTCTCCTCCGCCTCCTCCTAGGGGCCGAGCGGGCCGGCGTGGGCCCCGAGCACAACTCCGGCCACCGCCACGAACAGCGTCACGACGAGCCGTCCGAACCTCCAGCCTCTCGCCGCGTGTTGGGGCGGGGGGGGGCGGGCGCCTCGGGGCCGGCGAGAACTGGCCATCGCTCGGACGTCCATTCCCTGTGTTTTTTGGTTTCGTGCGTGGTTTTTTCGCCAAGTGATCAAGGATGCTCCTCGATGGTCCTCGCCGAAGGAAGAATGCACACGTCCGAGCGATGCCAAGACAAGGGGCGGGCAGCAGGGGGGCAGGGTCGGTCGGCATCGACTCGGGAAGCCGGGCCGGGTCAGACTGCGCGTCGGATCCGGCTGTAGCGGCAGGACCTCGAGCTCGGATCGGCTCGGCCGCGCCAGGAGGCATTGGGCCGCGCCGTGCGAGCATCGGGCCGCGTCGGGGCGTCGGAGCATCGGAATCAAATCGGGTCGGGCCGGCAGGAATCGACTTCGAATCGGATGGATCGGAACGAAATGGACCCAGGAGAAGTGGTAGCATCAGGTCGGGCGTGTCCCCCTACAGGCGGATTTTGGGCGAAAAATTAAGAATACCCAAATACCCTCAAAATACAGAAAATGGCAAATCGTCCCCAAACTACTTTTTGCCAATCTTTGAATGCTCCCCCTGTAGAGGGACAAGCCCGACTGAACGGTAGCACAGGGCGGGCTTGCGAACCGGCTGCGTGCAGCCGGCTCTCCCGGCGCCGCTCCCGCCGCCGGAGGCGGCCGTGCATCGGCCCGAGGGCTCGGCGTCCGGGCCCTCGCTGGCAGGCGGTGCATCGCTGCTGCTGCGATCGCAGCCGTTTTAGTTCGAATCCCGCGCAGCCGAGCCGGCCCGTGGAGTCCCAAGACGGTGCGGTGGCAGACCGTGCGGTGACCTCCAAATCCCCCAAAACCTCACCGCACGGTCCGTCAACGCACGGTTTCGGGACCTCGGATGCCCAGTCGTCCGAGACGTCCTCGGAGAACGACCCGAGTCCCAAAATCGTGCGGCGACTCCGAATCCCCACCGACTTACCGCACGGTGTGGTCACCACCCCGTTTGGGGACCCCCGACAGCTGTAACTGTAAGGCGGAGGCGTGCCAGGCAACCGGCTCGACGGGCATTGACTGTAACCCCTCTCGCACAAAATACGGATCCGCCCAGCTGTGCCACCGCCCCCTCTTTGAGCCGGTCTTCGGGCCACAACTCGGGCCCCCGCCGTTGGGCGTCGCTTCATAGGGTGGGCGGTAAATGGGGGGGGAGGGGAAAGAAAGGTGCACTTTTCGGGCCCCGAGGGCCCCCTTTTGGACCCTGAAGGGCCCCTTTTCTGCAGCCCTCGCTGCCCTCCAATCTTATCGCCCTCGCATTACGCGACGCCCGACGGCGGCCATTCGGGACGACTCCTGCGTGCATCGCCGAGAGAGTGGCGACAGGCCCCCGATGGCAAATTCGAGCGTTCCCGGGCGCGGGGGCTATGAGGCCCGTGTCGGTGATGAATGGGGCGATTGGGGCTCGAGGCGTCCTCCCCTGAGCCTATCACCCCCCTACCGTTGCCCCTGAATTCCCCCCCCCCCCCCCGAACTGCTGGATTCCCTTCGGCATCCTGCCCAGAACGCACCCAGGGGAGGAGCAGTAGTGTCGGTACCTCTCTTCTTCCCCCAGTGGAGGCCCACGGGGTCCCCAGAGGCTCAGGAAGGGCCAGACATGTTGGAACCCAGCAGCCTCGAACCTCCTTCCTCGTTTCCTCGTCGTCCGGTTGTCGGGTCATAGCTCGGCTCTCCGGGGGCCGTTCGGGACGACTCTGACACCCCTGGAACGCCCTCGACGCAGCTGATGGCAACCGCCCCGAGGCTGGAAAAACGCAGAGAACCGACGAAGACGTCAGAAAACCTGACGCCCCGAACTTTCCCCTGACACCATCCCCTGACCCCATCCCCTTTTCCTCCTCGCCCTGCTCGCCTTCCCCCCCCCCCCCAGAGCCATGTAACGGGCGAGGCAAAGCCAAGGTAGCGGTCTCCACCTCGGGACGGTGGAGACCGTTACCTCTCCAGGCCCAGCCCATAGACGAGCCGAAGCGCCTCGAACCACTCGTCTCCCCGCGCGCCCGCGCGGACCCCATCCCCCGACCCCATCGCCTGCTGACCCCATCCCCCGACCAGAGCTCCGAACCTCCCCCTGACGCCATCCCCGGACCCCATCCCATGACCTGGAGCTCCGACCACCCCCCCTGACCCCCTCCCCAAACCCCTATCCCCTCTTCCTCCTCGCCCTCCTCGTCTTCCATCCCCCCCCCCCCCCTCGCTGCCCCTGCACAGGAGGGGGGCGGCCTTCCCGCGTGGCGTAGCGCGGCCCGCCGCCGGCGCCCCGCTCAGGGGCGCGGCCCTCCGCGGCGGCCCTCCTGCTCTTGGCGCCCATGGCTCCGCGCGGGCGGGGGGCCTCCTTGATGGGCGGCCCCCGCCGGAGCGAGAGGGCGGAGGGGCCGCCCTCGCGAGAGTACGACGAAGCAACCCGCAGCTGCGGGATGAGAGTGGGAAAGGCGGCGGGGACAGGATGATGATGATGAGGAGCAGGAGGAGGAGGAGGAGGAGGAGGAGGAGGCGGAGGAGGAGGAGGAGGAGGAGGAGGAGGAGGAGGAAGGAGGAGCAGTGGAGGAAGGAGGAGGAGGAAGGAGGAGGAGGAGGAGGAGGAGGAGGAGGAGGAGGAGGAAGAGGAGGAGGAGGAGGAGGAGGAGGAGGAAGGAGTTATAGCGAGCGATCATGATGATCAAGGACAAAGGAAAAGGGCCAACCACAATGGCAACTATGCCATCGAGGTTGGCGGGGGGACCAGAGGGGGCGGAGGAGGGCGCGCGGGCGGGGGGAGAGAGGCGGGGCGGCGCCTGCTGGCGGCCACGGCCGCGTGGAAGTCGGCCGCGACCGCGGCAGACCCGAACGGCGCCGCGCGCCGAGCACGCGGGGCCGCACTCGCCGCTCTCTCTCTCTCTCTCTCTCTCTCTCTCTCTCTCTCTCTCTCTCTCTCTCTCTCTCTCTCTCTCTCTCTCTCTCTCCCTCCCCACTATTCGCGCAGGCCCTCTCCCTCCGCCCCTTCCCCCAAACCAAACTCCCAGGGACCTTGCCCTGGGCGATCCTGGACAGGTTTTGGGCCCCCGCCTTCTCGAGGCGGCCCGAGCAGACCTTGCCCAGGTCCCTCAGATGCTGGGTCGAATAAGACCCACAAGTCAAGCACCACAGCACATTCGCAACGGGCCAAAACGCCAAGGCGTGGGAAGGGTCCACAAGCCGACTGCGAACACACACAGCAGCCGTCGGTCTGAAGACCGCACCAGACCATTCCATAGGAGTGCACTGCGAATTCAAAAACGATGTCAGGTCACGGGCGGTTGAAGAGCAACCGCAACTCTGGCACTGGGCGAAATCCCCCCACAGCATGGGGCAATTATGAGAGGACCTCAACGCCGCAGCACGAAGGAGCTGGCGGGCCGATCTCCGAGCCTTCTCCTTAGGGGGTCGGGGAGGGCGTCCGCCTTCACGCTCCAAAACATCTGACATCACAGCAAGCAAGTGATTCTGTACCTTCCGAGCTAACCCATCAGCGAACCTGACGGGAGCCGAGACAGCATATGGGACCTGAACCTGCTGGGCGAAGTGGCTCGCAACCGCATCGGCCACCGCATTAGCCAGCACGACGCCAGGGTTTAATCCAAGGCGCACGGCCTCCTCAACCTTGAGGTGACTCGGAATCTGAATGAGAACCACATCCCCGAGACGGTCCAGAGCGCTCTGGACACGCCCCCAGAGATCAACATGAGTCTGAATTCGCTGCAAAAGGCCAGCCTTGATGCGAGCAAATCCCCTCGCAACGTAGGCCGAATCCGCGACGTATCCTAGACACGCCTGGGGATGAGCTCCTTCCAAAAACGCAAGAAGGGCCCACAGCTCCCCACGATTCACAGACTGCTTACCAGAGATCCCGCCTCCAGAGAGAAACTGAATGTCGGCATCCGACACTCGTGGGGGCAGGGTTAGAACATCATGGCCAAAAACCGCGACGCCCCATGACACCCGCCTGAGACGCTTGTCCTTCGTAAACTCCCCACCACTCGCATCCCCCGCGCCCCAGATGCGAGTTCCCCCCCGAGGCCCAGGAAACACACCAGCGGCACAGCGGATGGGGTCGTCGGGAGGCGGGGGGACGGACGTCCACTCACGGGGCACGAGACCGCGAAGCCAGAAACATGGGAGTTCGGCGGCCACAGAGGCGGCTTTACGCGCGAACCCATCGTCCACTTCCTGAAATTCACTGTTGCACGGGCATTCCCAGAAACGATGGACGTCCGTTTCAGGGGCCGAATTGCAACGGGGACAGGTGAGCTCACACTCTCCCCCAGAGGCCTGAATGCGGCCCCTCGTCCAGACGGCCCCAGTAAGGACAGCCCTGAGCAAGCCCGCCTTCTGAGGCGATTTCCTACGCAAGGACGCAAGGTGCCGCCAAGCAACCTTGAGGTCGACGCCTGATGCAAGACCCCCTCCATTGCGGAACTCAGCGGCAGCAGACCATAAACGTGCCTCAATGCTACGGTCAACTTCCTTTTTAAAATCCGACGTCATATAAGCCTGGGAGCGAAGCTCATCGGGGACGGCGAAGACATCACCCCCAGGAGCAACCCAAGACCACGGCCCATCGAGCTTCCATCCCAGAGCCGTCATGGTAGCGACCACAGCCGACACAGGTCCTTTTATATTGTGCCACCTGCGCTGGGGGCCCAAGCAATCGATCCTCTCGACCGTGGCAGACCAACAAGCACGAATGCGGTCCACTCCTTTTTCAGGCAACGCAGCGACGATCTGAAACCAGGACTCCAAAAGCTGAAACACCGTGGTGAAGGCAGGGTCCTTTTTCCGAACTTCCAAGGCCAGCAGGGTCGTGAGACACCGCCCCGCCTGGCCTCGAATTAAGCTGCTGGCTTGGGCCCGTCGCCATTGCTGGAGGACCGAGGGCGCGACCCCAAAGACCTTCCAGGCGTAAGAAGCCTGCGGCAAAGCCCCAGTGAGGATCAAACGCGCCCCGATCTTGCGAGGGGCCACAGCAGCTAACTTACGGATACGACACGCCCTGCGAGTGGCTTGCCCAGGACGCTTCGAGTGGCGGGGCTTGGCGACCGAAACGCCACTGCCCCTCTCAATGCCCAGATCCGCCGCAACCGAGGCCACCTCGACCTGGATGCCTTTCGATCCTAGGCCAGCTTGGATAGCACGCGCCACCGAAAGCTCAGACGCCACGATAGTCGACTTGCTGGCAATCCTCAGCTGCTCCTGTTCGCAGCCCGAGGCAAAAACAGCCCCAGCTTGGATTAATTCACGAATGACATCTCGCTTGAGCCCTTCCGCACGCTGGGTGACGTCATCGATCCACGTGCGGAGGGAAACAAGGGCACTGCTGGCACACGCACGTTCACAAATCTCGAACATCTGGCATTTCGAGAAATCAGGAGCCCTACGAGCTCCAGCCACAAGCCCACCATGCGGAATGATAGGCGGAGCGAAAACCCCCTCGTCCCTCAAAAGCCGAGGTCCCATGTGAAGAATACCCTCCAAGGCAAGGGGATGCGGGGGAAATTCAAGATGGATCGCATGGTCGACCACGCGATCCCACCGGGTAGTGTCATAGAACGCTTCCACATCCCACAACACTGAGGCAGAGCAATACTCAGGCAAGACTGAGGCAAGCGCAGCCTCGTCAGCATAACATCTGAGCAGAGCCTCTCGTAGAGCGCTGTTGCCTCGAACTGCGGCGTCCCAAGGACCAGAGCGAGCCGCAGCCCAAACTTCCGCAGGGCGAGACCGCATGCGGCTCCACAAACGACCCAGCCAGGTAAGCAAGCCTATGGCGCGATCCTTGCGCACATCAGGTTTGCGAAGCAGAACAACGATAGCGGTGAGCCACTGCCAAGGCCAAGCAACCTTGGCCTCGATCAAGTGAAACAGATCGAGCAACGCACGGCGGCCAGACTCAGGCAGCCACCAGACGTCACGCTGGCCGACCGACTCGATGCCGCGCGCCTTGCGGGGCGGCACAGCGCGAAGCGCCTCCTCCAGCTGCTCCAGAGTGAGGGGCTCCAGCTCGTCCTGAAGCGCCAGCCTCCGAGCCCGCTGCAGCACGCGGAGCGCCTGGTCGTCGACGACGTCGGATGGCGTCCATATCGCACTCCACAGCGCCGCCTTGGCCTCCATCACAGGAGCCGCATCAAAAGAGGTGTCGCCGTGCACTCTGACCTCGCTGACCTCGGCCGTGGGATCCCGTACAAACCGATGCAGGGCGCCACATCCCAGAACAGCCTGCTGCTGGACCCAATCGCGAAAAGCGTGGTGACGCTGCCGTGCGACAGCGCGCTGGGCCTGGTCCGAGGCCCTGCGCGCCCCAGCAGCGAAAGCCGCCAACGACTCCGAGGTCGCCCCATCCAAAGTACGAAGACCACGAAGCCATCGATCACGACGACGGGTAGGCAGGGGAACGATCTGCGTAGACGGGATGGAGCCAGCCAGCTGCGTAAGCTGGTCGCGAAGATGTCGTGCCCGAGGGAGATTGCGCTTGTCCCCCTTCTGGCCCACCAACATCCAACAGGTTAGCCACAGAGGCCCACCAGCGAGCGCTAGGATCAGCGACAGAAGGGTAAGGCTTGCTCCCAGCATACACTCCCAACTGAGGGCCTCGCAAGGAATCGCGACCACGGTGCTGCCTCCTCGCCAAGGGGTCCACCTTATACAACTCGAGATAATACAACTCCATGGTTGAGACCCAAGACGCGAAAACATCCCCAAGGTCATGAGCTTCCTCCTCGGCCGCCTGAAACGCCAAAGACTGCTGAACGAAATCAGGAACGGGTCGACGCGAAACTGAGGGCGCCACCTGCTGCCACAACAGATCCTTCGCCTCCGCCGACCACTCCGACTGAATCGAGGCATACGTGTCCACTTCCGAATCAGAGACGGCCACCTGCACATCAACATCATCATCGGGGACGTCCGTGTCCTCGCCGTCCGTGAAAACCTCGTCCTCCTCCTCGTCAAAAAGGGCATACTGCAACGGGGGCGGGCTCTTGATGACCAGCTTGCGCCTCGGCCCCCAAGACGGTGGAGCGGGCATGACACCCAAGGGTTGAACCTCTCGATCCGCCTGCTGCTCCGCTTTCTTCCGCGAGCGCTTGCTATCAGGATCAGCACACAGCTTAGGCCGAGCAGGGTGTGGGAAAGCTCGCGGCACCCTCATGAGCCACGCTCTGGCACGGCAGGCGTCGAAGTTGAGGCTGAGCTGAAGCCCATAATGGGCCTTGCCCGCCCCCTCCACCGCCTGAAAGTCCGCCAAGAGAGACTCGACCCGCGGCATTGCATGCGGAGAAGCCACGATATAATCCAACA